GAAAATACACCAAGGTGCTTATTTTATTAATTTCATGCATTTTGCAAAATAAATAAACCACTTTTAGTTTATCCAACAAAGTTAAGCCAGGTCCTGTGGACGGTTTCTTTTTGTTGAAACTTTTCGTCTTTTATCCAGAAGGCTTCATCAGTCCGAGGAGCTGCAACCAACTCAGTCTTATAATAAAAACACCTTCACATAGTGGGTCCACCAGTTTGATGGTGCTCCCATGGTTTCCTGAGTCTGCCTTCTCCCCCGTCGATTCATTAAGGACCTTTCGTCTATTTTATGAAAACCTATCTCTGAATAGTTATTTTTAATGAAATTTCTTTTTTTTTTATTCCATTAAATATATGGTGCATATAAAAGTTCAAAATGGTATCAGATTAGATTAAATAACTCTTTTTGCACTGCCTTGATAGAAAATAAAAGACTGTGAATGCATTGTCAATATAAATGAAACTAGCTCCCTAAAAACAAGAAAATGGCAACATTAAAAGTAATTTGCTATTACAGCCATAAATTAATGAGACGAATACACCTCCTAAATAATGGCTAACATGAGTAATGATGTACAAAGCCGTAATTCATATTTGTCTTATTCTATGCAGCATTTTAGAAGAAAAACATGACATTTGTGGTGACAAGCCACCACATGCTGCTGCCAGACTGAGAGCGCTCCTCCGTCCAGCCGTGAGTCATTTCCTCCAACAAAGGTCCGAGACCTTCAGCTGCAGAGACATCAACCATGATGAATGCCACAGCACTGAAGAGTCCAACTGCTTGGGCTAATTTATCCTTTTTTTTTCTGTCTTTCAGGGCCTGCCTTGTCGATCACATGGATTTACTCGTACATCCTACATTTTAGACTAAAGGCTCCGTTTGGTGGACAGTGTTCCTGTTTCTCCTGTTCTTTCATGCTTCATGGTGACACGGCCTCATGGCGCGTTGTCAGAGGCTGACACAGGAACGAACAGCCTGAGATGTGTTCACAAACCTGGCCCTGCAAAGCAGTTCTGTAGATGTAATGACTTAACAGACTTAAAAAATGTAAAACAACAAATCTGAGTCAGGACGACTTTTTAAAGAGCATGGCTTGAGAGGATGAATTAGTCGCGGGTGAAACAAGGAACAAAACTTCATCGACTTGTGGTTCGCACCGTCAGCGCCCACTGACTGAATTATAGATGAGAACTTGCACATTTGCACCTAAATGTTAATGTGAGGGTGAAAACAAAAGAAGCAAATCTAAAGGAACAATCTCAAGACGTGATCGTTTGGCAGCTGTCCGTCCCAGAACACACCAGTCACTTCTGTTCAGATCCAGAAGAGCTGAAGAGAAAAACAAGATTGTTTCAAAATGAAAAATAAAAAAGTGTTGGGATCATGCAGACTGTAGGAGGGTCAGATGTTTTCACCGACGAGGGATTACTCTTTTGCAACATGAATAATCTGAGCCTGAGAGCGTTCCAGCTGGGTTAAACTAGAGCGCAGGATTAAGTGGAGGTAGGAAAATGATACAGGCGAGTTTCAGCTCTTTATCCATCCTGGGTCACACGCAGCTGAAGAAATGACACACAGAGGAGTTGTAATTTATCCATAAAGTTTACAAGTTACATTTTATCAAGACATAAAAATCCTCATTTCACTTTTCCATTGCTTTAAAAAAGTTTTAACATTGAAACTATAAAAATACAGTAGTCAAGGTTACAAGGTTTTTTTGTCATTCGCACCTCATGTAGTACATGTGGTGGAACAAAACTGTGTACACAGGGTCCCAGTTACATCCAACAAAAGTATCAAATGTCAAAGAAAAACAGTAACAATATTTAATAATTTAACTAAGAAAAATGTTAAACTAAAAATACCCTAAGCACCAGTAGTACAACAACAATACAGTTGTATAATAACAACAATAACAAAACAGCAGCACGAACATGAGTCTGTGTGAGCAGATGAGCACGCATGAACACAGCAACATGAAACAGATCAGCAGCAACATGAAACACATCAGCAGCAACATGAAACACATCAGCAGCAACATGAAACACATCAGCAGCAACATGAAACGCATCAGCAGCAACATGAAACACATCAGCAGCAACATGAAACACATCAGC